TATTGTGATAAATTGTATGAGCCCCAATAAATTGATTAATTAAAAAAAAAAAAAAAAAAGAATTGCCAGTACATAATCACACGTGACATGCTCTCATATTCTAATATCTAGTCATTTCTCTTGGGAGAAACGAAAAGCAGCCCAAACGAGACGAGCTCCGGTATTCTTGGCTTTTCCAAAGTGCACTTTACGCCACTTCACGTTTTTGAAAGACCTACATCGATGCTTGTTTTCACTAATGGAAGCACATCCTCGGGATCTGTGCTTTTATGGAGAAGGTGAAACGTAAACTGGTTTTCAGTGTCTTGACACCAGCCCTGGGAGAGGCGGCATGCACCGCCAACAGCAAAGCTGCGGCACTGGGCGCCTTCCCTGGGAACTGCCCTCCGCGTCTCACAGCTCGCAGCCAGCCGGGGGTTTTGAGCTGTGCCTGTGAACACTATGCTGCAGAATCCTGTAGCAGAGTTTTTGATTTTTGTTCATTCACAAGGAAGCTGTTAGGCCAAATGACCTAGCCCCAAACCCAACGCTGTCAATTCCAATTCATAGCAACCCTTAACGGAGGTTCTGAGGCTCCAGGTTGTTTTTTGTTTTTTGGGACAGCTAGCTTCATCTTTTTCCCAGGAAGTAGCTGGTGAGTTTGAACAACCAACCTTGTGGTGCATAGTTGAACACTTCCCTAATAGCTCTGTGTTACTGCCTGAAGTGGTGGAATGTCAACTAGTTTGTATTCTTCCTATTGCCTTTGGGTGCTTTCTGTGTCATTCAATATTGTGCCCATAGAATCTTTCAATAGTGCAAATCGAGGCTTGAGTTTTTCTGTAAGTTCTTTGAGTTTAAGTTACACTAAGCTTGTTCTTCCTTTTTTGCTTTCTAACTCTAGGTCTTTTCACATTTCATCGTAATACTCTATTTTGTCTTCTTGAGCTGCCCTTTGAAGTGTTCCGCTTAGCTCTTTGATTTCATCATTTCTTCCATTTGCCTTGGCTGCTCTACTCAGCAGAAGGAAGTGGCTGGTGTGGATCCTGCCTTCGAGCCACCAAGCACTCATGAGTTTGGAGTCTGTGGAATAAGACTCTCTCTTGCCTTGGTTGATGAGCAGTCTTCTGGAACTGACAGTTTGAGCATTTTGTTTGGCTGAGCATGCTTTAATGTTTTAAAATCTGTGTGGTTCTCACTTGATGTAGTTCAGAATGCAAGTCAACTACCTCTTTCCATGCACGGGTCAATGTGGCAGCAGCTTGGCTGCACCTATTGAGAGAGAGAAGCCTTGCAAAGCTCTATTTTTTTTTTTTTTTTCAAATGATTCCAAGTGATTTTGTGCTCATGTACCACCATGGGAACTTGACCTTCTCCTGAGATTCCACTCTAAGTAAATGATTGATTGATTGATTGATTGCCTATATCCTCTTGTTACCTTAGTTTCCCCGCCTGAGAGAGATCATAGAGCTGATGTCACAGGTTTATTAAAGTAAAAGTTTATTAAAGCCTAGTATGCGGGAGCAGTTGCCATCAAGTTGGTTCCAACCCCTGGCAGCCCCGGGCGTGCGTATCAGAGTAGGACTGTGCTTCCAAGGGTTTTCAGTGACTGATTCTTTCCAAAGTAGTAGATTACCGGGCATTCTCTCCAGACACGCCTGGAGGAACTTGAACATCTGTCCTTTCAGTTAGCAAGTAAGTTTAACAGTGTGTACCACCCAGGGACTTCCACATTTGTTAAGGGCTCAATAATTACTAGATAACGTTTATTACTGTTATGTCTAAGGTGACCAGACATCCCGCTTTTGGCAAGACAGCCCCGATTTTTAACAATTTGTCCCACATCCCGCGGTGTTTTAAAAAAGTTCCAATTTTTGGAAAGAATGCATGACAAGCTAGGGTATACAGTTTTCGGCTGTCATGTGACTATTTTGCCAGGATATGAGTTTTATCAATGGTGTCCCGCTCTACCAATGTTAATATCTGGTCACCTTCATTATGTCCTATGCCTTATCTGAACCTCAGGTGTAAAGCAGGGTCATAATGTCCATATTGAATGGGTATAATGTGCACTAGAGATGACCCTAGTGACATGTTCAGTACTGTACTTGATAATGTTGAGCAAACGGCGGTTGTGTATTTATTTATTTTTGTCATGAGATCCAGTCTTGAAAGAGCCTTGGTGGCAGAGTGGATTGGGTTGGGCTGGTTTAGACCCACAAGCTGGTCCAGAGGAGAAAGGTACTGTGGTCGTCTACTCCCATCAAGATGGACAGCCTTGAAAGCCCTCTGAGATGGTTCCACGGTATCCTCCAGGCTTTCTATAAATTGCAATCAGTGGGCTGATTATTGGTGGGGTTTGTTGTTTGTTAGTTTTATTCATGCTTTAAATTTTATTGAGCATGAGAAAGAGCTTAAGATCATTGTCTTGGGGTAAGGATTGTATAATGAACTATTGAATTGTATGATATGTGGATTATGTGCCAATAAAACTGTAAAAAAAATAGATAGATACTTGTCTATTAGTTGTTATGAAGCACTCCTTCCCACTCACCATGACTTTTCAGAAGTGGAGGAGCCCAGGTGGTGCAGTGATTACATGTTGGGCTTCGATATGCATGGTTGGTAGTTCAAAACCAACCACCAATAGCTCTGGGGCAGAAAAATTGGGCTTTCTACTCTGTAAACAGCTATACTCTGGGAAATCCCCTAGGAGAGTCACTATGAGTCAGCACTGACTCAGAGGCCAGTGGGTTTGTTTATTTTGGTTTGGGCTGATAGTTTGGGAGAGGGCCTTTTGCTAAGGGGCAGGGCTAGACATACAGCCCGTTTCCTACCTTGTTTTTCAACTTCACACTCACTTAAACCGTTACTCCTGGTAGCTTTACTGATTTTTGATTCTTCTATTAGCATTATCTCAGTGGCCTGAGAATCTTACTTTACATTCTTTGGAGAATGCCCTGCTGATTGAGATGCTGAAGTTCAGGTATTGATTAATAGTTATTAATAGTCCCTTAATCAGTTCCTGAACATCAACAGTTGTGGGTTAGTAGTAAACCAATAAGACAAGTCTTGGACAGTAGAATAACTCACAAAAGTACTCAAACATCCACTATATACTGTGTAGAAATACAGATTTGGTTTCATTTTTGTGTGTTGGTTTCATTTTTATATGATTTCTTTTATGGGCTGCATATCCAAAATAGAGACTATGAATTCTAGACTTATGTAGGCAGTGTGTTTGTTCAATATATTAAGCATATAGGTATGGGTGGTAATCATGCAGGAGAAGCTGACAAACAAAATTAGCTTATTCTAAAAAACTGGAATTCCATTTCTCAGTGAAGGACTCTGGTCTTGTACAAAGAACCCAGCCTGGGCTACTGGTCTTTATGCCATAAATGAAAGATGATCAATGTTGTTTAAGTCTTTAAAACTGTTCTGCACCTAACTTTTCCTGTATAAAATGAGAGATATAATTCCTTCCAAGTCTCAATTTTATCAACCGGTTGGATAAAATTGCTTGGGAACTCTTGAATGTGTGCGGATCTAAGGAGGCAGTCTCTCCGGGGGTTAAAAGTACTTGTATGTGCTTGGGAGCTGGAAACGGCGGTTTCAATTCCTGCAGCTTCCACTAGTTATTTGCTGTGACTTGGGTCTCCCCAAGCTTCAGCTGTCTTCACATTATGACCCCCCATAAGATTGCTGTGATAGATGATTGAAATTCTTCATTCAGATGCCCACTCGCGTGTCTATAAACTGTGAACATTAGGTAAACGGAAGCTATTACTATTATCATAATGATGAATCTCATGTAGATACTTCATTCCTTGCTGAACATACCAGAGAAATTTAAAATTCTTTTGACTTAACACTTCCAACAAAACCTTATTTGCTACAAAACCCAAACCTCACCTGTGATAACCAGTTCTTCCATTTCCTCCTGGGATTTTAAGTTCCTTTATTAACAGGGAAGCTCCTGTTGAGGCAATAGCTTCTCAAAGGTCATCCCACAGCATGGGTTCCCATAACCCCTTGCCACCCAGCTTTGACAGCAAAGCCCTGATACGGACATTTCTCTCGGGGTCATGATTCTCCTTCTGATAGTTTTGTTACGATGGAAATCAGTGTCAACACTGACTGCCACTAGAGGGGGCAGTCATCTAGAAGGCAAAGCTGATTTTACTCCAAACATTAAACCCAAAAACCAAACTCGCTGCCATCAAGTCGAATCTGACTCATCGCCACCCCAGAGGCCAGAGAAGGAACTGCCCCTGAGAGTTTCAGAAACTCTAAATCTTGACAGGAGCAGAAAGCCTCACCTTTCTCCCCAAAAGCGGCCAGTGGTTTCGAACTGCTGACCTTGTGGCTAGCAGCCCAACACACAACCCACATTTCCAAAGGGAAATTTCTTCAGCGTTTTACGATTCATGTTTTTGAGCGGTGGGATATGTTTTCTCTGAAAACATAATAATTTCATTTCAGCCCAGGACTGAGGCTTAAGACCTCGCTGTTTCTTTGGAGTATTTACCCCAGGTTAGCCATGTCACTAAGCACTGTCAACATACCAGCCACTTACTGCCCGGGCCAGCTTTGTGATGTAGGTACGGAGTTATTTTCTTTCCAGATGAGACATCTGAAACTCTGGGAAAGGCTAAGGCACATCAACAGAGCCCCTCAGATAGAAACCACCGGGGCCAGCCCGTAACCTCCAGTCTGCTTGAGTCCAGAGCTCAACAGAGAGCATCGCGTTTTGGTGCCCAACTTGGCCTTTCTGTCCACCTCTCCTTCTGAGAGTCCTGTTATTGGATGGTAGAGAAGCCGGCCTGTGACTCCGAACATAGGTCGTTCGTAGAGCCAGGTATAGTGTTGTGAAAAGAAAGTAAAACGGGGCATTGTTCCTACTAACTTTTGTGTAGTATTCGATCCATCAGTTAACCTTGGTGAGAGTCCAGGTTCCTAAAGGAAGACTGGATCCATCTAGCCAACCTCCCCCCTGGTAGCTTCCTTCCCCCCACCTGTGTTCTGCCCTGAGTGTGGTCCAGCTTCTCTTTGAGCGCCTGTAGTCTCGGGGAATGAACCGTATTCCATGGTAGGTGAAGAATATCGATCCTCATCAGTCTAAAGGCTCCTCTTACGTAACCTCATGTTACTTAAATCAGTCTATTCCTCATTTTCCTAGGGGCGAGGACATGAAGCTGATAGTACAATGTGCCCTTGTGATGGCATACTGCTCTCCCCGTTACATAAGAACTGCCTCTTATCATCATTGGTCTTTTTCCCATAAAGCACACAGATGTCTTCTGGGCACACGGTAGCTGTGATGGGCATTGACTTCACGCTGAGATACTTCTACAAAGTTCTGATGGACTTATTACCAGTCTGTAACCAAGATGGTGGCAACAAAATAAGGTAAGCCCTTCAGGGACGTCATTTCCCTTCCAGCTGTAGACGCAGAAGGGAAGAGCTCTCCCGCAGCCCCGGGCGGCATGGCAGCCAGAGCGTCACTCTCGGGAGCAGAAGCCAAGTCCATGGCCCGGGTGTTCCGTGAACAAAGTCTTTGCTCTTTTTCTAAGATGCACACTCTTTAGGGTTTACAGATAAACCCAGCTCCTAACAGTGGCACCGAATACACCAACAGCTCTGTTTCTCCAGAAACCAGCAATTAAAGGTTTCCCACAATCGGGGTACAAAACGGACCCGAGGCTACTCTTGCGTCGTACTTTTGATGTGACTTGCTTTTTAAGCCAAAGTCTTGGTAACATTTTCAGACATTTAGACTGCTCTTTTTTTATTTCCCTTAGGAAGGGGCTCATGAACTAAAAATCTTTGCCTCTTTAATTTCAAAAGAACATGTCTGATCAAAGCCAGGGCATTCCCTTAATTTAATGTGGACCAGGTTTGAAAATCACTCTCTTGGTATAGTCTCATGGGTCACGCAGCATCTCGCTGCTGAAGTACTTACTACACATTGGCCCTTAGTGAGGCAACGCGGATTCAGGACAAACGGACATGCCTGATGCGGAGCCAGAGAGAAGTGCGTGTCACCTTGATAAAAAGCAATTACATAAATAAATAGAAGCAATTCCAGCTTCTCTTTTTTAGTACTTGCTTTTCTATCAGACACAGATGTATATGTCCCCCACATGTTGTGTGGGGTTTTCGTGTTTGTCATCAAAAGAAGGAAGTGTGGTGCACCTCACATTTGTGCCTCAGACTATTCAAGTCCACGTCCTTCATGGTCTCCTTGTCCTGAAAAGACAGTAAAACATTCCACTTATCCATCCCTGCAACGGGCTCTTTTTAAAAAAAAATAATTTTATTAGGGGCTCATGCAACTCTTATCACAATCCATATATACATCAATTGTGTCAAGCACATTTGTACATCCGTTGCCCTGCAAAGGGTTCTTTAAGTCTACCTGACTGGACGGACAGGCACATATTTGGTGTGAGCTGTCTAGGTGATCTCAGAGTCAGGTGTAAGGCTTACCCTGTCCCCCCGGCGGTGTATGGTCAAGGGTAGTGATGCTGTCTCTCTGCTTGGGCCTGGCTTCCTTCATTTTTTCCAACAAAGAAGCACTGAGAACTCAGGTAAATGCTCTCTGCCTCTGAGCGAGCAAGTCGAACACTCTCTGAGAGTGCGACGGAAGAACCATGAACATGAATGAGGACTGCCGTGTGTCTTGCCACAGGTGCTTCATAATGGAGGACAGGGGCTATTTGGTGGCACATCCAACCCTCATTGACCCCAAAGGGCACGCACCAGTGGAGCAGCAGCACATCACCCACAAGGTATTTGCTGGGAACCTGGTCGCTCCACTCTCCAGCTGCCTGGGCTCGTTAACCTGACATTGACTTCTGCTCTTGGTGACCTTGTTAGGAGCCCCTGGTAGCCAACGACATCCTGAACCATCCCAACTTTGTGAAGAAAAACGTTTGTAACAGCTTCAGTGACAGGACCGTCCAGAGGTTTTACAAATTCAACACTAGCCTGGTGGTAAGTTGGCTCTTCAGCTCCGCTAGCAAGTGAGATGGAGAGGTTGTGGAGTGTCCAGGGCTCTGCCGTAGAGCCCCAGAATCAGAGGACTGAGAGGGACCCTAACCCAAGTTCCCCAAAACTGACAGCGGCAGAACAGAAGGCCCAGACTGGGGAAGTGGATGTTTTGAGCTCTCACAATTGTTGGTTTGTTTAATGACTCACCCAATTGAAGCCCTTTGAACTAGCTACTGAACCTATTCCCACACTCTTGCATAAATAGAGGTGACACAGGGTGTCCCCTTAAACCCTACGGCCAAATTAGGTCAGTCCTTGGTTGGGCACCCTCATGTAGGCCACCTGAAAAATCATTTCCTTCTTCACTTAGAATGCCGGTGTGACAGAGTGCTGCACTTTCAACGCCGATGTGGTTCAAGGTCCTCTGGACGTTCTTACTGATCAGTAGATAATCTTCATCTGTGAGGACAACAGATGAGAGAAATGACAGTGCTGGCATTTAAAGAGCTATTTATGGGCACCAGGATGTCCACACAGACTATGCATCTCTATCACAATGTGTGTTGTTAAAGTTAATTTTTAAATGTACTGGATTGAATTGAAAATCCCCGTTTTAGCCTACAAAAAGCAATGATAGTTGTACAGTGGGATAGAAATTGAAGAAACATGTGTTCTTAATGCAAGAATGTGTCAGCCAGGGGTGTACTTATTAGTCCCGTGAGACCGCGTAGCATGCCGCGCAGCGCTTTCCTGGGAGGAGCAGGCTGTGGCCACCCTGGGGTGTCCTCAGAGGAAGGTGATCCTAGCAATGCCTGGATGACCCTCTCTGGACCTTCCTTCTCTCCAAGTTGGGAGCTACGGTTTCCTCGGTGCTTCAGTAGACAGAGCCAGCATCCTTGGGGCAAAGCTTTCCAAAAAGGCAAATTTTAGTTCAATATGAAATAGAATGGTTTCTTAGCAACCCAGTTATCCAAAAAGAAAATGGAATAGGCACGTTCGTGGGTATTGGGGGAAATAAGATCATAGCCCAAACCAAACTCAGTTCCGTCAGTCGATGTTGTCCCCTAGGACGGCCCCGTGTGTATCTAAGACTGTGCCTCGTTCCAGAGCGGAGACAGCCTCATCTTTCTCCCTCAGAGCTGGCCGGTGGTTTCGATTTCGGTTAGCAGCCCAATGTGTGACCACTACTCCCCTCGTCTCGAGGAGGCAGGCACATTTTAGGTAGTAGAAATGTGGCCTCGACCTTCGAGAACTCAAGGAGCCACCCCATTGTTCTTAGAGCTCAGCTTAACACCACCACATCTTTCTAATAAGGGATGGCTGGAAGCTGGCTCAGGGTTGAAATTTCCCAGCACTGTAACCCACATGCAGAAATAAGGTTGTGCATAACTTTATGAACCTTCAATTTCCCAGTGTGAGAGACAAATTTGGCAAATCAAAGAGCAAGCTCCCACAGCTCCTTCGTATAGAATGATGCAGAGGGTGCTGTTCAGGTTGGATAGTTTGAACATTGTAGAAGCAGGGTCCTGTCGTAAAGAAGGTTCAAAAGTCTGTTCAAAATAAATTTTTTTTCTTAAAATTTTTTTCTTAAAGAAGAAAAGTTATCCAAGAGGAGAAAAACGGGTAGTTTCTGGTGAACTTTGCCTTTGAGTTTGTCATAACCTATTTATCAGCTGAAAGTTGCCCTAGATTGACTCTTGAAGTTATTTTCCTCATTTTATTGTTAAATGACTTCGAAAGAAACCAAGTTTATACTTAGGTACAGATATAAAATTTCTGTAAAACCATTTAGTAAAGAACAAATCACTTCCATGCAACTGTTCAGTGGGAATTATCTCTGGGTGGTGGGTTTATGTATCTGGTGTCTCTGTTATCTTAGGGTCTAGCAGTGACTGTGTATTGCATTTGTCATTATGGTTATGCACACATATATGAGTACAGTCGTTTTTTAAGGGCTAGTTTTGTAGACAATTGGAGAGCTGGTTTCAGTAAAGTAGGGCAAGGTCTCTGCTTGGTTGCCCATCACTCCTGACACCCCTGGTTGTTCCGTAGGGGGATTTGACAAACCTTGTGCATGGCAGCCACTGTTCTAAATACCGACTGGCAAGGATCCCAGAAACCAACGCTTTTGTCGGCATCGTCAATGAAACCTGCGACTCTCTGGCCTTCTGTGCGTGTAGTATGGTGGACCGGCTCTGTCTCAACTGTCATCGGTAAAAGCATGATGGGCTGTTTTCTCTGTTTAGCAGCCTGTTTGATTTTGTAAGTGCTGCCAGCCATGTTGAAGTGACCCCAGCAAAGGCTGGGGTGACGCGCCCTGGAAGAACAGAAAGCCCCAGTCACTAAAGCCTTTCGAGCTGCCTCCTTTGCGACATCCTTGTCCTAAGAGCAGTGGATTAAGGGCAGTTGTGTGTGTGCATGAGAGCCTTTGGTATGAACTTCCATCTTTCTGTCCCTTTCCGCTCACCGGGGGTCCTTTACTTTGTTTCCCTGGTGTGTATACAGTAAGCAGTTTGTCACTGACATGCTACAACAGAATCTTTCTGCTTTCAGAATGGAACAAAATGAGTGTGAATGTCCCTGCGAGTGCCCTCTAGAGGTCAATGAGTGCACCGGCAGCCTCACCAATGCAGAGAACAGGTAAGAAAATAACACAGGGGCTTATTTATAGATCTGTTTGGGGTTGTGGCATAAGGAAAGGATTCATCCTAATACTGATAGTGTCTAGTTAGCCACAGTACAAGGTCCCTAATGCCTTAATATGAAGTCTTTCAGGTTTAAATATAAATAGTGTATAAGCAGAAAGCCTATCTATGCTGTGCCCCCAAAGTTTTTAATGTGATTTAAAATTTCAAATGTGACTTCTATTAACACATAACACATAGGAGACTGTAACACAGTTACCAAGTACCTACCACAGGTCAGCTACTTTACATGTGAGCTTAACATGTTCACACCTAGTGTATAGCCCTCTTTCTATTTCAAGACTGATTAAATGAGTCGTGATAAACCCATTCTAGAGAATTTAAATTAAAAGCAATGAAGTATGCTTGAGTTGAGTACATCATCCATTCCAACGGCTACCGAATTGATTCCAACTCAGCGATTCTAGCAAAGAATAGAGCTGCTTCACAGGGTTTCCAAGACTGAGTCTGTACAGAAACAGACTGCCACGTTTTTCTCTCGTTGCTTGTGGATTTGAACCACTGACCTTCTTGTTACCAGCTCAACTAGTAACCTGCTATATGCCACCAGGGCTCCTCTATGTATGTCCTCGGTCCCTAGGAGGAAGGTGAGGCTTCCGATCCCATAAACAGCTACAGTCGTGGAAGCTCACAGGGGCAGTTCTGCCCTGTCCTAAAGGGTCTCTGAGTCAAGCATCGACTCAATGGCAGGAAGAGCACAGCGTGTTTGAGGCGTAGAATGAAGGGAGCTTGCTCTTCACTTTCAATTTTACGCATTCACGTTTTGTTATTTGTGACTTCTTAGATTTAAATTTTAAATGTGATTTCGATTACATGTAACTGTGAAAGAATTGGAGCTCAGAGTAGTTAAGTGATTGCTCTGTGGTCAGATTCAGTGGCAAAGAGAGGACTCAATCCCAGTTCTGTCTGATCATTGCCAAGAACCCTTCCACTCACCACGCGATGCACGCAGGCAGCCCTCCAGCTTGGGCCCTGATGAGTTTGGGTCCTGACCATTGCCCTTGCCTTCTGCACAGAAACCCAAGCTGTGAGGTGCACCAAGAGCCAGTGACATACACTGCCTTTGACCCTGGCCTCCAAGACGGCCTTCACCAGTGTGTCAACAGCAAGTGCAACCAGAGGGTGCAAAGTGGGTAAGCAGGGCTGGGTGCTGATTTGGGGTCAGCGTGACAGCTGCTGTGGTGACCGGAGTGTAACAGCCTCTCGGAATTTTCCCAGCTAGTATACATCTGTCCCACTAATATCTCCCAAAGGTACTCCAGCTTTTTAGGCCTGACACTGATTTCCACAAGCCTTTCATCCACGAAGCTTACGGTGGCGAAGGCCGTCTGAGTCCTCTGTTTGAGATCATGGGAGCTATTTGCTATTTGTCACAGTGGCTCATAGGCACCTCTTGTGTGAGGAATTTACTCATGAGTTTCAGGAAGTGAGAGGGGACATGGTATCAAGCAAGGCCGAGGGGACAGGAAAACAGTCTGGTGGACCAGGCTGTCTGTGTGATATGTGCAAGGTCACCAAGCTTACTTTCTAAGAAAGCAGGTCAGCTGCAAGCTCCTTTTCGAACTAAGGACTGCCTGTCCCCTGCCTCTCTTCTCCGGGGAGCGTGAGACTCGCCATTTGGGGACTCGTGGCTCTGGTAGGCTAGCATGAGGGTTGGGGTGCTGAATACATTGTAGCTGCATTTGTTGGGACAAGAAGTGGGTAGAGGGGACAGCTCATTCTCCTTTGGTGTGTCCTTTAGCAGAGGGGACAATTTGGCACCAGATTCTCTGGGATGTTATGCAATCACCCAAAGTTCACTAAATTTGAGAAGAGATTGACAGTGGACTCGGTTAAGAAATGGCTGTTAATGAAACCTATTTCCCCAACATATCGGCCTTTGTTCTTTTTCCTCCTCTTTCAATGACCACACTCTGGGGGGGCTATTAGGCAAACCTTGGAGCCACTAGACTTGAGTAACTCTCCCCTGATCTGTGAATGAGTGTCATCGTTGGACTCGAAGCAAGCAGTCTTCTGCCCTTCCTCTGCCAGCGGTTGGCTGCTCTCTCACTGTGGCTCTCCTTTTATAAGGACCAAAAAGTACGGTTTCAGGAGTTGACAGTGTCAGTAAATGGTGGCACTAGTGAGACCAACCTGGTGCCCCACCCAGGTGCTCCCTGGGACCCGACGTGTCTTCCCTCCTGCAGGGACTGTTTCGGTGTGCTGGATTGTGAATGGTGCATGGTGGACAGCGATGGCAAGACCCATCTGGACAAGTCCTACTGTGCGCCCCAGAAGGAATGCTTCGGGGGGATCGTCGGAGCCAAAAGTCCCTACGTTGATGATGTGGGAGCAATAGGTATGCTTCCTGGGAACCCAGGCCGGTGAGGTTCTTCAGCACACACCTGCCCGCCTGCCTTCCAGCCAGCAATCCACAGTGATCTTCTGCCCCGCAGCCCTGCTCCCTTCACCTACAGCTTTCTGCGGCGTCACAAACCAAGGCCCATGGTGGGCAAACGTCGCTGTCCAGCTGCCGGGTTACTTGGTACACAGAGAGAGTAGATAGCCCTCTGTCGCAAAGTTTGCTGGCCTCAAATTCTTTCCCATAAAGCTTGCTCCTCGGGCCCAGTGTCTGTGTGGCCGGCCTCCAGAGCCTGGCTGCCTGGGAGTCCCTGCTGTCAGAGGCGAAGGGCCAGTGAGGCAGGAAGTAAGCACGGCTGGTCATCATCCGTCGTGACTCTCGCAGGGCAGATGTCCTGGGACTACAAATCTACCTGGCAGCCTGCCAGCAGAAGGCAGAGAGCCACACTATAGAGCTGGAGCAGTCGGGGGAGAGGAGGGTCAGGAGCGGAGAGCCTGGCATCAGGCTTCGGGGCATGCAGAACACCGCCCGGGAGCTGCATCTCTCAGGTGCAGTTTTCTCAGTGTCACTCTGGAGTACAGCTTAAGGGGTCCCTGGGTGGCGCAGATGGTTAAGCCCTGGGCTACAAGGTTGGTGGTTCATAGGTTCAGAGCCGCCCAAAGGCGCCTTGGAAGGGGGTCTGATTATCTGCTCTGTGAATGGTTTGAGAACCCCACGGAGGGAGCACAGTTCTACTCTGACATACACGCAGTTGCCACGAGTCATGAGTCGGAAGAGGCTCAATTGCAACGGTTGTTGGTTGGCTGTTTTATTTTTGACTTAAAGCTTAGTTGGCAGGTGAGTCCAAATATTCATATCTTCAGTGGACTGTTGCTTTTGATCGGCTCGCTGAGTGAGCTCCCCTGTAGAAGAAAGATTCCCGGGTAAGAAGGGTTTTGATCTCACGTGTCACTGCTAAAGCAGATGGGGACAGAGTTGAGGGACCTTGTTCTAAGAAGCTATAGCATGCCTGCCATAGGTTTCCTATGGAAAGTGTGCACGCACTATTTTACTTGGAACACATACACTTGGACGTGTGATCTGGTCAGCACACACAGATTGTATAACACCCATTAATTGCCATCAACCAATCACATGAGTCCCCCAAACAGGCCTCTGCTGCCCTGACTTCTGTACTGTGTGGGTTTCTTATTCTCCTGAGAATAACTGATACCCCAGGCAGCCAGGGCTGTTAACACAGGGGGCTGCTTATTACATAGGCAGGTCCTTGCCAAATGTGCTTTTGCCCTGCTTACCATCCAAGGTTCTCATTTGAGTCCCAGGGATGATGTGAAGCCCTTGTGCCCTCATTGTTTTGGGGCCTCCTTTGAGGGATTTGAAGCTTAAAGCAGCTATTCCTACTTATTTACCTTCCCCAAATCTATCTCTCTCTCTCTCTCTCTCTCTCTCTCTCTCTCTCTCACACACACACACACACACACACACACACACTCTTTCTCTTCCCCTTCTCGCCAGCCTCATACTTGGGAATCACGTACAAGGGACATTCGTTTGTTTGTTTGTTTGTTTGTTTGTTTGTTTGTTTCAACAAAGGTGATGAGGTGATCTCATTGAACATGATCAAAAGTGCCCCCGTGGGTCCTGTGGCTGGCGGTATTATGGGCTGCATCATGGTGCTGGTCCTTGCTGTGTATGCCTACCGCCATCAGATACATCGTCGGAGCCATCAGCAGATGTCCCCTCTGGCTGCCCAAGGTGAGCTCAGAATGAACCCCATGGCTCCCCCCGAGGCAGCAGCCTGCCTTGGATTGTGCAGAGGGTTGAGGACCGGTTGCCCACTGGCTACGGTGCTCCATCTTCGGCTTTTATGGAGTACACTCAAATACCTCCACCAACTGCTTCCCCCATGTAGCCTATCACACACATCCCTTGGCTCGAAAACCCTATGAGATCCATTTGGATTACCTTGGAAAGTTCTCTGGGGCCACCCCAGGGTCGACATTCCAAGTGGGATGTTTTGTCCCCTGGGCTACCCTGCAGTCCCTAAAAGACAGGTGAAAGGAGACGCCCCAGATGGTAAGAATCGGCATCTATTAAACAGCAGCTGTTAGTTGGCAATGTGAATGCATCTCTCAAAGTGGGCTAAGGAATCATGACTTCCAAGCAAGCGTTGCTTGTTTGTTGATCTCTGTGGGGATCCGCTTGTTGGCAGGGGCCAGGCCGTTTAATACCATGCCCGGCTGCCCCTAAGGGCCCCCAGCAATGGGTGGAGATTAGGCTAACTCATCGCTGTTTCTGGTCTTTGTCAGGAGCCGCTTAGCTCAGCCTTTCAGCAGTGATGATGGGTTGCAATGTTTCCCCGTGGCTGCAGTCTGTAGATGGCTCGTGGGTAATGCTGCCACTCAGTCACAGGGATGTCACCCAGTGAGCTGTCTCCCTGCGGTAGACAGGGTCAGCCGGAGACTGCCTGATCATGGTCTGCTGCTACCGCACACCTGGCCGTGGGAGGAATTTGTGGCCGTAGCTTCGGCGCCTATTCCTTCTGTGTTGGGTATGTGGGTAGAGTGCTCGAGGTCTCTTGGCCTCTTTCCACTTCTCCCTGAAAAATGAGTGTGTGCTTCCAGTGTGACTCGTAATTATCCACTTCTTGTTTTCCCTCTTCTGATTCCGGCTCCCTCTGCATTTAAAAAAAAAAATGGGGCCTCCGTTCACACTTTTTCAAGATCGAATTCCTTCGTGGTGGGGTGCCGTCACCCCGCGGGAATTAGAGCGGGTGGTTTTGTTCGATGGCATCGTCATGTTTCTCTCTCTTCCGTGGTGGGCAGAGATGTCGGTGCGGATGTCCCACCTGGAGACTGACCGGGATGAAAGGGACGACGACAGCCGTGAAGACCGGGGCATCAGTGAGTACCCGTGGCCCACCAGAAGCAAGAGGGTTCCTTGTATCTTTTTGGCGTTCATTAAAGTTTAAGGAGCTGTGGCTTTCGGCCCTTTTCCTTTGGGGCTGCGTGTTTGCTTTGCCTTAGAAAAATCTCAGAAGGTTGGAATGATATTAAAAAGTTTGGGGGGATTCAATGATTTGGCACCAAACAGCTCCTCTCCCCTGCCCTTCTTCCCTCCTGCCCTTATTTTCCAAGGTAGTGTTTTAGAAAGGGAAGCTTCTGGTATGAATGTTTTTAACGCATTCGTGTGTGTGTGTGTGTCTAGACATATATGAACACATACATATATAGGGAGTGGGAGAGGGAGGCATGTTCTTTATCAGGAGAGGACTCCGTGAGCGCTGGACTAGCCAGTGTGTGTGTGTGTGTGTAGACATATATGAACACATACATATATAGGGAGTGGGAGAGGGAGAGCATGTTCGTTATCAGGAGAGGACTCCGTGAGCGCTGGACTAGCCAGATCTCCCGCCCCGCGCGCGGCTTCTTGAAGCCTGTTGGAGAGACATCATCAAGTCCCTCACACTCTGCCGCAGTTCAAAAGCTCGCTTGCCTCCTCCTCCGAGACCATTGTACGGGACACATCCCAGTGCTCCCCGCCCGTGACTGAGCTCGCTCCGAGCTCGCTGCTGGAGATCCTGGCCTCCCAGGAGCACTAACTCTCCTTGCCTTCCCGCAGTCAGCAACACCCGCTTCATCGCCGCCGTCATGGAGCGGCACCCGCACAGCCCGGAAAGGAGGCGGCGCTACTGGGGCCGATCAGGAACAGAAAGTGATCATGGTGAGGACTGGAGGACCGGGGGTCAGGGTTTGATCTCTCTCTCTCTCTCTCTCTCTCTCTCTCTCTCTCTCTCTCTCTGTTTCTGCTTAAATTATTTTTACATCCTTTTCACAAAACAAACCCTCCATCTCTGGCAGCATGTTCTCAGGGTCTCTGGGTAGGTATGTGCCTGTCTCAGGCACTCCCGAGAATAAGCCCAGGACCCCCAACACACTCATTGATTGCTCCCTGATTTTCCTTAAGTAAAAATTGAAATTGCCTAAATAGAACCTGCTGTCCACCTCCACTAGATGCTCCGTAAGCCAGCATCGGCTCAGGTCTTGCCGCCTAGGCTTGCTAGTTGGCAAAGCATCTTCTTTGGTGGTGCTGCCCAGGGTTGCTCGTTGGTGTCAAGTGGGGCGGGGCTAGAACATGTGGAAGGCTGACATTGTAGAACATGGCGCCTGGAAGATGCTCTGGAAGACGTGACAGCGGCCATAGCCGAGATTAGGGAAGGCTCTGCCCAGAGCGCGGGGCTTCTCCCCTTCTCCTGGACCGTACCGCTCATTGCCACTGCAAACCGCAGACGTCTTTGAGCATGGCTGTGAGTTCCACGAAGCAGGAGTTGTAGGACTTTTCTTGTGATGTTAAGCTCCCTTTATTGCTCAAGATCACTGTTTAGTTCCCCAGAAATCTCCATTTTTCCCCCCAAGAGCAGTTTTGTTGTTGTTGTTGTTTTTCTTTCAAACATAAATAATGTATCTAGGCTTCTTTGACTCAGCTTTCTCCACATCGATCTTGGGGAAGGAAAAAAGAAATGTCTTCCGACCATGTGCTCCCAGACCTGTGCTAACAATGCAAGAGTGACTATTGTCTAAGAACCAGCATTCACTGCACTGCAGCCAGCTATTCAAGGGAAGCTAACGGGGAAAACACTGTTTTTGTAAGTTGAAGTCTGTTAATTTGGGCTTCGGATGACATTCAGTCCCATTAACTAAATCGGAAGAAACTTCAGGCTTCCAGGGTGAGTCAAAGAAGGTTGTTAGCATCTTTGACTTTCTGCCTTTCCCCCTAAAACCCTTTGAACTTGCATCAATTTCTTCTACCAGGCAGTTCTGTGCCTCTTCTTCTTTGAATAATAAAACCGTTTGTGGCTGCTAACATTCAGTAGAAACAATCTCTTATTCAGCAGAAATACTGGATACTCTCTCCCTCCCCCAAGTAACAGTTGCGTCAACACCACCTTGGAACTCTGACGGACAATTTGGACATTTCATTAGCAGCTTCCCCATTGTCTTAGTAAAATAGCACATGAAGCAAGCGCTTAGATAAAAGGAACGGTGCAGTGTCAACTCTGAAATCCAAGGAGTCTGACTAAGGGCTTGCTTTCTTTCATTTTTCACAATAATTGGATCCCGCTTATCCCCAAGGGAGGAAAAGGAGTTACGGGTGCAGACGGAAGGCAACACCAAGAGAAAGGGGAGATGCTGACATGCCATGTAATTCCAAATGCACCCCCAAATCAGTAGCATTTGATGGCCAGGTATTTTCTCCCTGAGCCTGTGCAGAGGGTCACTAAACATGGCCTCGGGTTCATGCCCTTAGGACACCTAGATGCTGCTGGCCATGCGCACGGCTCAGGGTAATCGCCCCTAGCTGTTTTGTCAGCACATTACTTGCTCACCAGTGTGTCTTCTGTTTGGTGATTAATTGGGCCGTCTGCTGGTCGCTGGACAATGGAGAGAGCTAAGGCCATTTCTGAGACAGCATGGTGTCGGAAGAGCTTGAGACCAGGGCCTGAAGACCTGCTTTGGGTCGCCTCTCCTAGTTTCTGCAAGCTGTGCGGCCGTGGTGAAGCTCCTTTGGCACTCAGCTTGCTAGTCATTAAAAGGGGGGTTGAAATGTAACTTCAACACTGTGTTAGTCTGGGTTGACTAGAGAAACAAAACCAGAGACAATCATATATGTGTAAGAGAGAACTTTATATCAAAGAGCAATTGTATATGAGAAACCTCCCAGCCCAGTCCGGATCAAGTCCATAAGTCTAATATGTCCAGTACTAGTCCATAAATTTCTCTTTAGACTCACGCAGCTGTGCAATAATGCCAAATGCAGGGAGATCGCAGGCCAGTGGATGGAAAGTCTTGTAGATCCAGTGGTGGTAGAAGGATCTCCGTGCCAGCCTGGGTCTCCACGTGACCCCTGCAGCTCCAGGGCCCTGGCTCCATTGGTGTGTCTCCATGTGGCTTGTCAACAGGAATGTCTCACAGAGGGAGTGTGTGGGCCCCACTTGCAGCAGGCTGTTTATCTCCATAGTGCCTCCAAATGAGTTATCAAGCTGCGACCTGCTGGGCAGGCTAAACTCCACCCCTTTTCCCTTAATAGTCTCAAATTGACACCAGATTATGAAACTGCCACACACACTGGCACTCGTCGTAGCACTTTTTACACTGATGTGTCAATGGAATCAACACAAGGCATCTGTACATGCAGTGTAGTATTCTGCAGCCATAGGGGAAGGCTTCTGGTAGCTCCTGAAAGACGTATGAGAATTGGAAAACATTAGGCTGAAATGAGCTAAGCCAGACACAAAAGGACAGATAAAGTTAGGGTCTCCTGTGAGATATCTAGAATCAATAACTCTAGAGAGAAGTCATCCCTGGGTAGTGCAAACATTTGGTACATGCAGCTGCTCACGAGGAGAGAGGGCTGGGCTGTTCTAGTCCACCCAGAGGGACCTCAGAGAAAAGGCCTGGTTATCTACTTCCACAAATTAACCAGATGGCCATGGTTCTATTCTGATATACATGAATCAGATTGACTCCATAGCTCCTGATACATAGAGACACGGCTGAGCAGTTCACGCGGGGGCTGCAGAGCAGGGAGTGGGGCATTGTGATTAGCGGATACAGAGTTTCTCCCTGTCGTGATGACAAAGCTTTACATGTGTAGTGATTGCTGCTTGCACCCCGTGGTGACTGTGATGAATGCCATTGGACTGCACACTTGAAAGTGGTTTAAAAATGAGAAATTCTTACATCGTATACTCGTATGTCTTGCCACAATGAAAATACCATATATACTTGAGCATAAGCCCACCCTAATATCAGCCAAGGCACCAAATTTTCCCACAAAAACTGCATTAAAATGTGCTGAAAAACTCGGCTTATACACGAGTGTGTATGGTAGTAATGCTTCTCAGCTTGGTAAGGATTGAATGAAATGACACAGGACCAAGGTGGAACTCAGTGAGGTAGGGGAGGGAGGCCTCCCACATCCATACTTATTCTTTAAAAAATGATGCTGCAGGCATCATCAGAGCAAAAAATATTATCATAGTGAATGAGTGGGGGAGTGCGGAGTGGAGACCCAAAGCCCATTTGTAGCCCACTGGAGATCCCCTTGCAGAGGGGTTTTGGGGAGGAGACGAACCAGTCAGGGTGCGATGTAGCAACGATGGGAAATAGAACTTTCCTCTGGTTCCTAAATGCTTCCTCCCGGCCCCCACTATCATGATCCGAATTCTACCTTGCAAATCTGGCTAGGCCACACTGGTGCAGATGGGAGCTGGAAACAGGGAATCCAGGGTGGATGATCCCTTCAGGACCAGTGATGTGAGTAGCGATACTGGGAGGGTGGAGGGACGGTGTGTTGGAAATGGGGAACCGATTACAAGGATCTACATGTGACCTCCTCCCTGGGGGACGGACAACAGAAAAGTGGGTGAAGGGAGACATCGGACAGGGCAAGATATGACAAAATAACAATTTATGTCGGACAGGGCAAGATATGACAAAATAATAATTTATAAATTATTAAGGGCCCATGAGGGAGGGGGAGCAGGGAGGGAGGGGAAAATGAGCTGATGCCAGGGCTTAGGTGGAGAGCAAATGTTTTGAGAATGATGAGGGCAATGAAGGTACAAATGTGCTTTACACAATTGATGTATGTATGGATTGTGATAATAGTTGTATGAGCCCCTAATAAAACGATTTTAAAAAAAATGATGCTGCTTCTGGGCAATCCAGGAGGAGAAATCCGTAAATGAAGGCATGTATTTGTCCAGTGGTAAAGCTGGAATGACCACTCCCCCAAAGGAGTAGAGGAAACAGTTGTTTTTTCTGTGAATCAGTCAAGAGGCTCACCTAGATGCAGGTGCCCACGCCGGTCAGACTGACCCATCCTAGGTCTTTGCTAGGAACCCTGGTGGCATAGGGGCTATGCGTTCAGCTACGATCCACAAGGCCAGCAATTTGAATCCACCAGCTGCTCCATGGGAGAAAAAAGAGGCTTTCTATACCTGTAAAGAGTTACAGACTTAGTGGGCAGTTCTCCCCTGTCCTACAGGGTCCCTAGGAGTCAATCAACTCCATAGCAGCAAGTCTTCAGGAAGCCTTTGCTACGCAGTGGACACATTTCCCAGAAAGCCCTTGGGTCCAGTGTACACAAGGAAAATCAGAGTGTGAAACAGATCGATCCCTAGACTTCCATGGTATCTGATGCGCTTAGGATTGAAACTGACCGAGTGGTACCAAGCTACGCTTGGAAACAAACGACTACATTGTTCATTTGGAGCCAGTTTACAGGACCAATCAGGGTATTGTATGTCAGCGGAACTTACTTCTTGCTGACCCTCAGAAACGCCGCTCTTCTTATCTCTTTAGAAACCTTACCAAATATGTTAAGCGACATTTCTTTTTCTTTGGAAAGGTGAATCCTCTCTCCACCCCACTAATTCTTATGAGGGTCAGGTAAAATAACAACGGGCCAGCATAGAGCTCAGGCGTGGCCGTCCCATTTCCACACTGGCCAGAATGTTCAGTCCAGGAGGAAGCTGGAAATGAATGCATGTGCTCATACCTGGGATTGCTTAGCAGTGAGCAAATTCCACAAGACTCAAAAGCCTTTTTTAGATCTCCTGCAGTTACTCTCTGTGACCACAAGATGGGGAATGAGTCCCTAGAGAGGGAATCTTATCCCTTCGAACCCTTCTGCTTCGTGCAGATACCTCACTGCATCCTGACGCCCCTCTCTTTGTTGAAAATTATCTTTGCGGAAGCATACCTTTGGACATGTTTTTCCTTTGGAAGCAGTTTTAATTGGGTGTATGTTTTAAACACGCTTCTACCTCTGTAAAAGTAGGGACCGTAGATGACTTGTTTAAGATTTTCTGTTTTTCAGTTTTACTTGTACAGAGTTTTTTACCATCCCCAGAATCCACCAGGTCCTTTCAGGATAACATACGGTTGCCTGCTGACTGTCCCTGCCCGTCCCGGAGTGGGACAAGCCAGTCGCATACTTGGCGGCTGCAGCCCTAAGAGGTGGGAGGGTCGAGTCCACCCGTGTGTCTCAGGAGAAAATCCCAGAAATCTACTTCCAAAAGAGCCCCCAAGAAACCCTATGGAGGGACACATGTCCTGTGACACACATGGGCTCTCCATGCGTCAGAATCGGCATATGATGGCGGTTCATTGAACAGGGCATTACCTATAACACCTGCCCACCGCTTTCTTTCCTGAATGGCCGCCTGCCTTCCCATCACGTGCCTCGTCTTCTAAATGCGTCCACTGGCATGCCCTGGATCATCTGATTTCAAATTAACCTTTCCGCCTTCCACTTGCCTTCAGCTGCCTGCAAACGCTCATCCTAGCCCGGTGCTATGGGAATGACCTTACATTTCCATGGCTCTGAGACGCTGCTGTCCCCCTCCCTTGTCTGTGTGGGCTTACCAAACTCCTCTTCATCCATGGAAGCCCAGCTGAAATCTGAACCATTCTCATGCCACCCAGCAAGAATGAACTGTTCCCTCTTCTGAATTTCGGTGATAGCCCAATCTCAGACTTACAGGGGTGTTGGTGGTCCCGTGGTGGAATTTTCGTCCTCCAGGTGGGAGACCCAGGTGTGTTTCCCAGCCAGGGCACAGCAGCATAGACACACCCACTCATCAGAGGAGGCTTCTGTGATGCTGGGGAGTTTCGGTGAAGACTAGAGGCCAAGTTCAAGTAGGAAGAAAGGCTTGGTGATTCAGCCAGTGAAAGCACTGTGGTTCGCAGCTGTCCACTCCCCTTATACACGGGATTACACGGGGTCTGGGTGGCTAACTTTAACATTTACCTTGCTCGGCCTGGCTCCGTGAACAGAAACCTTTAAGGAACAGAGACGCCTCTTATTCGTTCTCATTGTCTTCTCTTCCTCCAGCCCCATGTGGTCTTCCGTGAGTGAATAATTGAACTGAACTTTCCGGGTTTTGAGGTCCTTGTGCAGAAACCGGGCTTCATCGGGGTGTCTTGGGTATCGTAGGTGCCCCGTAAACATTTGTTGAGTCGGGCTGTTAAATAATCCCACCCTTTGAGAACTCTCTCACTGAAGACAGACTCGCCATGCTCCTTCTTGCACGGAGCGTGCATTTTCAACCGCCAACGGTTCCTGCTTAGTCGTGTGCAAGCACATCAGTTCTGCAGCCACAAACGTGACGAGCACTACCCACGGGTGAGTGCCGATTGATGCTAACTGGATGCAGTGGAGATACTAATGAGCTGTCACTTCTCAGAAATGTCAAAGGGGCTTCTGCAATATTGAAAACCATGCCAAGGTTCTTGGGCTGGACTCCTTTGATCCACAAGAGCGTTTTCTTTTGAAACACGTCTTATTGGGAATAATAAAATAGTTCATCTTGCCGTACAGGGAGCCGGCATATAGAGAGAGAATAGTTGATTCCTCCTTTGGTTTCCAGGAGTGTCAGAGGGGGGTGTGGACGGGGACTGGGCCACGTGTAGCTGGTGAGTTTTTAGGTCCTGCAACTCAGAGCGAGCTCTTGAGCCTCTCTGGTGACCGTTTTCCTCACCCATCCATAAACTGGACCCAGAAGCATGGGCCTCACCGATGTGCAGGAAGCCCAGGAGGTGGTGCACCTGCGCTGGGGCAGGGAGTTGCTGTGCTTGTGCTGTATCCCATCCAGGCCGGGGAGCGATTTTGTTTCCTTGGGTTGGGGCAGCAGGGTGGAGGATGGGGGAGGGAAGAAGAGGGCTGCGGTTTATTATTTTTCTTTGTCTTTTTTTTTTAATTATTATTTTTCTTATCCATATGTTTGCAGTTATCTAAGCGCAGCGGTTCTCAACCTGTGGGTCACGACCCCTTTCGGGGTCGAACGACCCTTTCACAGGGGTCACCCAATTCATAACAGTAGCAAAATTAGTGTTTTGAAGTATCAACAAAAATAATTTTATGGTTGGGGGGGGCACCGCCATATGAGGAACTGTATTAAAGGGTCGCGGCGTGAGGAAGGTTGAGAACCACTGTCTAACATGATGGTGTGATACTTTTTTTTAATTGAAGAAGAAACGTGTACCTGACGATGCCCTTAAACGCCGGTCACATTGGGTCTGCTGTCTCCAGCATGGTCTGTCGAGGGTAAACGCCCTCCTCCCCGCCCCCAGGAGTTCTCAGGTGTGTTCTGTTCCCATTCAGGCTACAGCACCATGAGCCCGCAGGAGGACAGTGAGAACCCGCCCTGCAACAACGACCCCCTGACAGCAGGGGTGGACGTGGGACACCATGACGAGGACTTGGATCTGGACGCCCCACCTCAGACTGCTGCCCTCCTGAGTCACAAGTTCCACCACTACCGCTTACACCACCCCACCCTTCACCACAGCCACCACTTACAGGCCGCCGTGACCGTGCACTCGGTGGACGCGGAGTGCTAATGCTGCCCTCGCCCCAGCCGCGGACGGACGGTCGGAGAAGACGGGGCCTGGGATGGACGAGGCTCCAGAGAGAGAGAGGAGAGTGAGCCACCTGAACCCGCGCAGGGGCCCGTGGTCCAGTGGTTTCACTCATTTCCCGCCTGTTCGCGCATCTTCCACACCCAGCGAAGCAGCACGACACCGCCCTTGTGAAAGACGAGGGAGGCTGGTTCCGAGCCGGAGCACCAAGGGGCCTGTTGAATGTACTTGCCGTAGCACGAGTGGCATGGACAAGGGGCAGGCCTCAAACGGAGAGACACCAACCACCCTTTCAGTGACTCGTCGTCGGCGAGAACCTCGTTGAGCTGAGCCAGAGGAACGTGCGGGGAGGGAGGGCCGCCTGCGTGGGGTGCGCCCTGGCGCCAAGCCCCCCACGCTCAACGTGTCCCTTGTTTCTTAGCGGGCCCTCCATACCCCAGTGGCTCCACGGGACCTGAGCTCTGGATGACGCATCTCAAAATTTCTAAGTAAAGGATTATTTTTCTACTATTTATTGAACTTGCGAACATTCTCAAACTTTAGGGGGGGGGGTCTGGCAGAAGGGGACAGAAACGTGTGAGAAGTATCCCTAGTTGGTTTTGTGCGGGATGAAGTGGTCCTTTGATCAAAGGGCCTGTTTTTGTTCCTTTTGCCCGTTTTTCTTTCTTTGCATAGCCTATCCTACTGCCTGCGCCACAGGATGGGGAAAGGGAGAAGTCTTCCTCCCTGACTTGTTTCCGCCTATTCTCTTTAGAACACCGTTTTGTGGAGCCACGTCCTTGCTGGTCACATGCAGTGTGCTTGCCGGGGCCTCCGCAGAGACGGAGGGCCAGAGGAGGCCGGGAAGTGTCCGAAGGGAATTTTGTGTTTCTTGATACCTCGGGTCTGTCAGCTCCCCACGCAATGTCTCCCTTAAGTTTCTCAAAGCCTCCCTTTATTCCTTTCCTCGTTTGAGGAAGGGGGTCCTGGGTGTATTCTCCTTGTGTTAGAAACATTCTACGTTGCAAACGTGTTCCATTTTTGACACTGAGAATACTGAACGTGTAAGGAAAGACTTTTTGTGTTTGTTTAACATTGTGGCATTGGGGTTCTGGATTAAACGATTTCTTGTGAAATCACCGTTTAAAAAGCTGCTGCCAGTTGGCTAAGACGTTCTCTTCCCAAACTGCCCTGTGACGGCCACGGGGCTTTGTCTTGCTTCATAGAACAGGGGCATTGTAATTTTACAGTAGTGTTCTAATTACAGTGATGTACTTTAGACTCACGCCTTGTGATTCAAATGTGTTATAAAGACATTCTTGCACCGTGTATGTGGTAAATCTCCATTTATATGTGGGGGGGGGATTTTTTTTTCTCACTGAATAATGCTTTCATGATAGGGTATTATGATAGAATGTAAAAACAAATTGGTTCTTCAGCAGTTACAGGACATAAACGATACGTGTGCTATCAGGAAACCCCTTCAGACTTTGTACAGAATTGCAGTCTAGTGAAATAAATATATGCGATGGACAGTTTGCACGGCCCGGTGTTCGTCCATGAGCTCCTCCTTGCTCCGCAGTCTGTTCCGGGCACTTAGTCACGAGCAGTTGCTGACCTGGTCACCAGTTGCTGACCCGGAAGGACGGTGACCCTCTGCCAGTGCCACACCCAGCCTCAGCCGTGGCCTGCCCTGCCATCTGGAGCGCACACGGAGACAGAAGCTGGTGGAGAGTAAAGGCAAGCACTAACGCCTGTGCAGGACCTAGCATCCCCTTTCTGATCAGCTACTTCAGGTCATTGATAGAAAGGAATGGCCGTTCGGTCCCTGCTGGAGAGACTTGCATGTGTTTTCTGTCTCTCCAGAAAATTACATTTCTCTGTGGGATATGAAGGCAACCCTGGTCGGTTGGTGGTTACGTGCGGGGCTGTAAACCGGTCGTTCGGCAGTTGGAACCCACCGGCCTTTCCACAGAGGTCAGGCAGGACTTGCTGCTCCCCTAAAGACTTTCAGCCTCAGAAACACACAGGGGCAGTTCTGCGCTATCCGGTAGCATCACTGGTTCAGAATTGACTCAACGGCGGTGGCCTTGGGGTTGGTTTGTGTGTCATCGAGTCGGTCCTGACCCATAGCGACCTCATGCCCAACCAAGGGAAAGACCGCCCCGTCCCACCCGATACTGCGCCTGCAGCCCAGTGAGGGCCTTCCTCTGTCGCTGCCCCTCTATTCACCAAACATCATGTCCTTAGCCAGTGGGGCCGCCCAACGTGGCCAGACAACCAAGAAGGACTTGGCTCCCCACTTCAGAGAAAGAAGTAACCTCATGCACAGCTTCAAAACCAATTGTTTTTGGAGGACACCAGTTTCCTTTCCTTCCCAACTTGCGAACCTCTGTGTTATGAGACTAAGCTCGTGAAGAGGTGAGTCTATGGGTTTTTTCTCCCCTATGAAAAGAAGCGCAAAACCGAGAGCTTTGGAAAGGACCCATTCACCATTTATTCAGAGACAATCACCTTCTGTGTCTTTTGCTGTAAGACTCTCCCCTCTTCTGAACTTTAAGAGAAACCCATTTGAATGTCTGAATCCCCTGACTGGCGCAAACCGGGTAGAACTACCCCTGTGAGTTCCCAAGCCTAACTCTTCAGGAGTAGCAAGCCCTGTCTTTCTCCCGAGGAGCAGCCGGTGGGTTCAAACTGCTGACCTTGCAGATAGCAGCACAGCTCAGAACCACTACACCACCAGGCTCCTCACTTGAAAAAAGGTGGTCGGATTTCCTGGGACTGGCTCACTTTGCTTTGCAGAGAGACGAGGGCCTGTGAAAAGCAATTCTGGAGGCTCACGGAAGCTCATTTCTCCAGGCAGTGGACTGCTTTAAGGATTCGTTTGGGGGAAGAAAGTGTATCTGGTAGAATAATCGTATTCTTAAAACAGCCCAGCTGAGCCCCATTTGCGTCCTTTTGGGTCTGCTTCTGAACAGAGCGGTGGTGCTTTTTCTGGCGAGGACACAATGCTGTATTCAGAAGGTTTCTTCAAATCTTTCAGCTAAAGAGAACCTTAAGTGGGAGGATCTTCCCCGGGCGATGATTTATAACCTGTTAGGACCATCTTTTCAGTAACTAAAGTACGTGTGTGGTGTGCACATACATGCACGTTTACATAGACATGAACGGAATATGGGCCCACATTCTGTTGCCTTTGGTCTTTGATCACCCCCTTCTTGAAACTCTTCTAGCTTATTCGTCCAAAACGACCATGACCTCTTCCTTCTCATGTGCCCTCGTTCAGTATTTTTCCAGATTTCATTCACAGTGCACCACCACCCCCAACAAAGAAAAGTCACGATTAAATGCTCCCTAACGAGAGAAGTCCGATGCTAAGGAATATGGTTTTGTTGGGTAGGGTTACCGTTTGGACAGCCATGAGCCTGATTTCACTCCCCAGAACCAGTTTCCACCCCCATCCCCACCCTCATCGAGAAGATGAGGCTTCAACTTATCCCCCAAAGCTCTGTTTTCATCCCCTTCTTTAGTATTTGCTACCCTGCCACCCCATTCTAAACTGTATCCTTTTCTCTCATTGTTGGGGTGGAGGGTAAAATGAAGACCGGAGAGCAAGGGGCCCTCTGGGCTGATGCCAGGACTCTTCCCGCTGCTGGCAACCACCACCTTCGAGGTCTTTGACTAAACGGTGTCATTCGCACACCTCTACGTGTTCTGTTTAGCGGCCCTGCTTGGAACCATGATGCGATCCGGGATTCTTGATCTACTTGTTCTGTTTCGTCGTCGTCGTTGACTTGTTTGCTCTGGTGACGCAGGGGTTCAGGCCTCACCGGCCAGTCTGCAAAACGATGTGGCAAGCTGCTCCTGAAGCGATTACAGTCCAGGAAACAAGTCCCCTCCCCAGTGTCTTTCCTACAGGGCCAGTTGACTCAATGTCACTACCATCCTCGGGTGGGATTCCTGCCTTTCAGTGGGGAGAAGTCCTACACAGTCACCAGCCTGGAGAGAGGTGTGTGACTGTGATGCTGCACAAGCTTCAGAGAGCTTCCTGACTTAAGACCTGGAAGAAAGGCCTGGTGGTTCATTTCTCAAAATCCAAAACTCCTGCAGACCACAAACATTTGGTCCGAAGTTGTGCATGGTGTCAGTAGGGACCAACTCACTAGCAGCTACCAGCAATCTGGTTCTTGGACTCTTCTGTTTTCCATCCATTCAACAAATAATGCACAGCTACTGCCTGGTGCTAGGAACTGCATGTACAGGGAGGAATGACACATGATCCCTTCCCTTACTGGACGTGAACAGAGAGGGAAGTGATAATGGAATGGACTCCCCAACCTTCATGCCGCTCTTCCCATGATAAAGCAGTGATTGTGATTTCAGGAGCTGATCTCAGCCTTAGGGTTAAATTTCTAATTAATCCTAAAGCCATCTACGTCCAGCCCGCCTATTTAGCCAGCAGCTCAGATTTAAGACAGCCAATAAAAAGCTTAACTTCTGATGACGGGGAGGAACATGTAACCCAGTCTGTGCACTCTCTAAAGGGAAGGACTTCGGGCGCAGGAAAGACATGTTCTCACCCCCTGGCGGAAGACATCAACCAGTAGCATTTTGGCTGGCAGCCATCTTGCTTTCGCTCAGGTGAGCCACCTCAGGATGGCCCAGATGAACTATACAAGGGTACTTCAAAAATTACCTGGAAATGTTCAGTTACCTTTTCATTCTATTGTCCCACGAACTTTTTGACGTTCCCTCATACAGTGGAAAAAAGAAAAGAAGATGACATCATCAACCGCTGGTCATAACCAGCTTTAAAGCCCCTCGGGTTTCTGGATTTCCAATTGATGTGAAATTATTTTTTGGTTTTTTTTAAAGTCCTTCTTGCAGAAGACTTGAGTTTGCTTTGCAACACATGGCTGAAACCATCCCATGCAGGCATGAAACAAGCACATGTAAAAATGTACCTACATGATGAAATAGGGCCACTGGCTGGGAAGGCAAGCAGAGAGTGATGGAAGAACTAGCCCCCAGGGGACTACAGGCATCAGCTTTAGATTAAAGGGTCACAGGAGACATCTGGGAGCGTGACGCTGAAGCCACCAGCTGAAGAATGCGGACAAACCGGTCGGGAGGGCAGTGGGGATAGATGTGTAGTAGCCCCAAGTTAGAAAAGCAGCAAACCTGGACACTGCCCATGATGATCTATCATCAAAGAGTTATGAAACCAAGGGCTTGGCACAGGAAGAGACTCAACTGGAAAACATGCCTAAAGGCCAACAAACAGTCCTTGAATTAACTACAAGCTTTTCTTACTTCTTGTTTTGTTTTTTGTCATTGGCTTGTTTTGTTGCTTGGTTTTGCTCTGTCTTGTTTTTGTGCATGTTTTTATCTCCGCAGGTCTGTCTAAATAAGATAGGCTGGATGAACGAGCTGGAGGAGAAAACAACAGAACCGACAATTCTGGGTGGATGTGGGAGAGGGGGAGGTCGGGGAAAGGTAGTGGTGTTAACAAACCCAGGGACAAGGGAACAACAAGTGATCCAAATCAGTGGTGAGAAGTGTGTAGGAGGCCTGATAGGACATGACAAAGGGTAATGTAACCGAGAGGAATTACTGTAACCCAAATGAAGGCTGAGCATGATAGTGGGACAAGAGGAAAGTCAAAGGAAATAGAGGTAAGAGGTAAAGGCCATTTATAGAGGTCTAAATACAGGCATGTATAAAAGTAAATATATTTATATAGGAGGATGTGGAAATAGATCTATGTGCATGTGTTTATAGGTTTAGGAGTAAGGTAGCAGGTGGACATTGGGCCTCCATTCAAATACTCCCTCAAAGCAAGAATACTTGGTTCTTGTAAACTGGCATTCCATGATACCTTCCCGACACAATCTCTGAAGACAAAGCGGGTGCATAAGCAAATGTGTTGAAGAAAGCTGATGGTGACTGGCTATCAAAAGATATAGTGTCTGGGGTCTTAAAGGCTTGAAGGTAAACAAGTGGCCATCTAGCTCAGAAGCAACAAAGCCAACATGGAAGAAGCACACCAGCCTGTGTGATTATGAGGTGTCAAAGGAATCAGGTATCGGGCATCATCAGAACAAAAAATCATATCATTGTGAATGAAGTGGGGAGTGCGGGGTGGAGACCCAAAGCCCATCTGTAGGCACCTGAACATTCCCTTACAAAAGGATCATGGGGAGATGAGCCATTCAGAGTGCAGTGTAACACCGATGAAGCATACAACTTTCCTCTAGTTCCTAAATGCTGCCTCCCCACCCACTATCATTATCCCAATTCTACCTTACAAATCTGGCTAGACCAGAGGATGTACACTGGTACAGATAGGAGCTGGAAACAGGGAATCCAGGGCAGATGACCCCTTCAGGACCAGTGCTGAGAGTGGCGATACTGGGAGGGTGGAGGGAAGGTGGGGTGGAAAGGGGGAACCAATTACAAGGATCTACATATAACCTCCCTGGGGGATGGACAACAGAAAAGTGGGTGAAGGGAGATGTCAGACAGTGCAAGATATGAC